TTCCATTTGGTTTGGGCAGCCTCTTTTGGAATGTGAGCATCTCTTTGCTTTCTGCGGTGCTTCTGTCGCGTCCTCCTTTTCGGGGAGATTGGCAGGATCTTCGTTCCACCACACACCCTGAGTAGATCTCATTGTTGTAGGGTACTTTTTGCATTTTGGCCCCGGTGCCCTAACTCTTGAGTAACCAATTCTGTAGGCCTTCTTCTGTCACTGAGGTGACCTTCCACATCTCAAAGGCCCCTGGAGAGCCAGGGCAGTTCCCCTGGAAGCCCCTCCCTCCCAGCCACCTTCAGTTCCCACTCCCTGCAGCCTTCCTCCATGCCAAGCCCACAGTTCTCAGTATTTCTGATTCATCACATGCCTGAGTCTGTAGTTCTTTTACTCACAAGCACTAAATAGTCATTTTCAGTAACCAAAGAGGCGTGGAACAGGGACCAGAAATGATCCTGCTGACGACAAACCACGGATATGCTTAACAAGGAAATAATAAGCTCTACAGCTGATTTGAGACGTAAGCATACTCAGGAAGAGATATTTTTCACAATTCACTGGGCCCCATCAAAAATCAATGGCCCAAGGCAAAAATCTGCAGCAGAGATGTATGCTGCAATGTGGGGTTGTGGGATGTTCATTTCCAAAACCCAAGGGAAAATCATCCCTCAGAACACCTTCTTTTAGTTAATAGCACCCGTGCCACAGGAGCTCAGAGCACTTATCATAATATGACTTCAGTGTTCCTCGCCGTTCCAGTCTCTGCGCACAAGAAGCACACAGCAGTGTTACTAGTCCCCGGGAAGACTGAGGGCTAGAGTAAGAAAGACCCTGGATGGAGGCCATCATGAAGAATGGGCTCCCAGGTAGTGTGACAGCTGCTAGACCCATGGGCTGAACTTAAACTACAGATGTCTGTCCTCCTACCTAACCTCTGCCCAAAGTCATTTGTGGCCAACTCAAATATAAGCGAAAGCCAAGAGGGGAGCTTCACAGCTTTCACCAACACTAGAAGATAAACATCTCAAGAGAACACCCTTCTCACTGTCTGACCCAAGCCTGCTCCTACCAGGAGTGTCCCTCACCACACCCACCACATGTTTGTCCCTGCCAACCCGTGGATGCTAGCCGGAGCCTGAAGGACTAATTCAGAAACCCTTCTCCAGCACACCCTATACCAACCACGTTCTCTTGATCCTGATTCTCTTTTATCTTTCATCCCCCTTATTGTAAACCCCTAGCTGTGTACCCTTGCTTCCACCCCAATCTCATCCTGGTTTGGACATTCTTCCTAGTGCACCTGGCACCCAAATCACGGTTTGCTGGAGTGATTTCTAACTAAGCACATCCCTTCAGTCTCAGCATCTCCCACTGCTATAGCTGTAGACTTCTGGATCTAATTCTCAGTGCTGTTAACTCCTTTTCCTACCACAGCTCACGGTCCAGCTACCCCATATCCCTACCCACCTTTCAGTACACAGATCCCCACTGCAAGACTAAACAGTGGATAATTACATTAAAAGCCCTCAGTCCCCAAGCTCTATCAGTTAAGTCCAAGTTGTCACCTATGCCCTCACTGCTGCAACTAGTTTGAAAAGCCCCTTCCAAAGAGAGAAGACTATTGCAATGTACAAACCCACTTAATTTTTGGAAACTCTGACCCTGGGAAATATTACTAAAATGTTTTATTCCACTTAGCAGATAGAAAGAATGTATCTGTGTCTAGGTTAGAAGAATCCAGAAAAGAGAAATGGGTCCAGCTCAGAAAAGAGAAATTGGAAAGCTGCTTGGGGTATGGGGCTTCTCC